GTTAGAAATTGTTGATTAGCCCTCTGTATTTCCATGTCTCAAAAGTGATATCTCAAGCTACACTCTAAGTGGGGACGTGATAAGCAGAGAATAGTTGTCCCATAAAGCTGTTTCTCATTCATCCACATATCTGACATCAAAGAGCCAAAGATAATGTTTAAGGTTGACTACACCTTGGTTTTCTCCATCACATTTATTTAAATGTGATGATTTAATAAAATTGCAAGGAAAAAAAGACAAATGAAAGGCCTCAACTTTAATTATTAAAAAAACCCTCTCCTTCTGAGTTAATCTTTTACTCATTTGATAGGAAGAATTTTATTATCGGCGTCTTTAAAGACTCGCTTTATAATTTTATTGTTGACCTCTTTAAAGACTCACTTTATAAGAATCTAATTCTCAAAGCTGAGACTGTCTCTTAGATGCATCCAACTCCACAGGCCTATTCTTTTATAGACTAGGAAAGCTTTTAGAGAGCCTTTGATTCTTCCTGTGAAGTCAGCACCATTGATTCGTAAGTTACAGAGTATTTCCACAATGTCTACCTATCAGTTTCACAGGGCAAATAATATTGATTGTTTTACTACCAAATGTGGCAAAATATTAATTTTCTGCCATTATAGTGTTAACAGAATGTAGAATACAACCATAGCAATTAATGCACCTAAATCCATTTAATGTAATAGTCTACTTTGTACCATTAGCATCTTTCTTTACTAAATCTTTCTTCTAAATGAATGGATAATATTTTATTTTAAAAATGTGCTTATTTTTCTAATTTCCTCAGTTCAGTTTCTTCAAGTAGTAAGTTTAATATGGTCTATGCCTTAAAAACAATTACATTAACTCTTTTATACAAAGTTATCTATGTAGAATATATCATTTTTAGAAAATTATTTGTGCCTTTCCAGAAAGAGACAATTTTGGCTTTCTATTCTCTTGCCAAGTGGTGACTATGTTTTATACTTACTCTAAGTAGTCATTAGCAGTTTGTCTCCTAATAAGAATAAAAAGGTAATTTTCTGCTGGTAGATTTTTCTTTAAGTTAGACTGGATTCATTCTTGAAGGAGCACAAAAGCAAACACACAGACCTCTCATTCTGATTTTAAATAATTTAGAGTGGAACTGTGAACACAATATTTTCCCCATTGAAGATCATTTTATACCGAAGTTTAATATAGGTTTTAAAATTTCTATTTAAAACTTGGGCTCAGGAGGGTGATGGTAAAGTGTGACATTCTCAAGCTGTTTCCTGGTGATGAAAAATGCATGAGAACATAACCCACACAGGACTAGTCAGGCGACTTTGAATGTAATTTTCCATTAAATTTTACTTGATTTAACTCAACACATGGTTTGTATCTTACAAATTTCTTGAATAAAAAAATAGGTGGTCCTAAATGAATGTAATACTTAAAGAGCTCATCATTGTAATCATAGTTTAAATTACATGGAACTGAGTTAAATTCCTAGAAAAACATCTTATACCCTCCCTTCCTTTCTTTTTTTCCTTCCTGTCCTTTCTATATTAATTTTTGAACTAGCTTTGTCCTTCATATATATATATGTATGTGTGTGTGTGTGTGTCTGTGTGTGTGTATATATGTATGTATATATATATATATATATATATATATATATATATATATATATATAGAGAGAGAGAGAGAGAGAGAGAGAGAAAGAGTTATGGGCTGAATGGTGTTCCCTTAAAATTCCTATGTTGAAGTCCCAGCCCTCAAGGTACCTCAAAATGTAACCGTATTTGAAGATACGTTTTTTTTTTTTAAAGAGGTGACTAAATTAAAATTAGGTCATTAAGTGTGACCCTATATAATATGACTGGTGTCCTTATAAGTAGTGTAGAGACACCAGGGATCCAGTCAACCAGAGGGAAAGCCATGTGAGGACACAGGAGAAAGTGGCCATCTGCAAGCCAAGGAGAGAGGACTCAGGAGAAACAAACTGCCAAAACCTTGATCTTGGACTTCTAGCTTCCAGAACTGTGAAAAAAATTTTTTTTGTTGTTGAAGTCACCCAGTCTGTGTTTGGTTATGACACTTCTAGCAAATCATACATATGTATAAAATAAATGCTTTTTATTTGGTTAAGATATTTTCTTTAAACACTGTTAATTTGTGTTGGTAGTTTTGTTTTCCTATACTGAATGCTAGCAAAATTTGTGCTGCTACTTTTGTTTTCTCAACTGAGTGCTAAATGGGAGCAGATTACTTAGATGGCTTTGCTTTAAGGAAAAATATTTAATTGAAATTCAGTGTATGGTCTTGGGCAAATTGGTATTTCTGGGAGGTTTTCGTTTTTACACATTTATATTAGAGTAGATGATGCCAACAGTGTTATGTAGCTCTGGGAGCTCTGATTTTGTGAAGGCAGGAATCCTATTTTTGGTCTATATTTCATTATAAAATTAGTAATCATGGAGCTTGAGGAGGAATTGACCCCACATTGAATGCTTGGTCAGGGAATGGGTTACTATGGTGTCCAGCTGTGGCAGATTGAGTACTTGACCTTAGAAGCTTTCTTGCAGCAAGCACTTACTAATTTTCCAGCAGTTCTCTCAGCATTTGGCACAGTCATTCTTCCTTTGAAGGGGCCACTGTCTAGAGATAGGCTGGATTAATAGTTGTGACTCTCAGATATGAACTTGTTTGCTTATTTTTTTCTTAATATTAATGATGAGCAACAGAAGTTGCCTGATAATATCTCCTCAGTCTGTGTTGCTTTAGGCTACCGTGCGCTATGTATACCTGTAAAGATCAGACTTTAGATTTTGCAAAAATTTATTTGGTTCCACACATGAATTAAGTTCTTTTTCATTACACAGAATGAGGAAGCAATCTCATTGAAGTTTATGTGTAGTGGGTTGACTTCAACCATTGAGCCTTTAGACTATTTACAGGTGAATTGGGGTAGTAGAAAATTTGACTATGTAACTGTTTTCTACAATCTCTGTGGCATTAATTTAATCTTTATGTTTAAAATTATTCTTGCCTTTGGAGTGTCAACTTGCCTTCCAAGGTGTTAGATTCTCTGCCCACTGAATTTTATCCTTCTTTTTCAGGATGTTGCTTTTCCTAAAATGCTTTGTGATATTTGGTTGTATACTCATATTTGTATTTGAGAATCACTGTCAGCTTATTTTATTTTCTGTAAATTGTCTCTACTGATTGTGTGAAAGAGATTACAGCCTGGGGGTTAGGAGTCATTGCTTTTTCTCTCAATATTGGCTACTTGAGTCCTTACTCTGCTCAAATATTGCATTCTAAGCCGTCTCCTGTGCAGATGCCTCTGCAGCTTGCTTGGGAGGACACTGCAGTCTCAACTGTTTATGTGTTGATTAGTCTCATGTTCACCTAGAGGTTCTTGCTTCTTTTATTGAATAGTCTTCTCCTCTTTTTATTGAATAGTCAGGCTTTTCTCTTAAGTTTTTATTTTAGTTATCTTCTTTCAGAATTCTTCAAATTTCTGATTAGATATTGGCACTCTTTTTTGTTTTTGAAAAATAACTTTTCAGTCACAATGGGGTATTTTGGATGGGAAGGAGGTAAGAAACGTGTTCAACTGGCCACATAAAATCCGTAAAAATAGTGCGAGTCAGAATCATTGCCCACATGTTGTGTGTTTTTGGTAAGTGGTACAAGAGTACACTCAAAAGTAGTGTTCAAGCCCAACTTCTAGAATACAAGTTCTAAACTTCTAAAGTTGGTTATTTATGAAGTACCACAAATATTAGAAACTTTTTATGAATTATATATATTTATATTGGGATCAGATAATCTATTTAATAAGAGTTTTCATTTCTTATATAATTATCATTTTCTAATATGCTTTGATATTACCCTTTTAAGTAATAGCAACAGTATAATAGTAGATCATTTCTTACTAAAATAGAAAGTGAATGCTTCTCCACCATAGAGGACGACACTCCACTTTTGTTTCTCCACAGTTAATGCTGGGGTGGGAGTTGAGCACAGCAAGAGTGATGAGGTCACTCACTCTTAGCATTTTTTTAGTCCTGATGGGATGTGACCTGTCTTAAGGAAGAGTTATTTTGGCTATACCTTAAGGCGGCTATACCTTAAGGATTGATTTATGTATACAGAAACTAGTTCCATTTTGTATTAATTAGTGATAGCTGAGTGATACATCTTCTGATTCTCTAGGAATTATCACTAAAAGGTATCAGAGGAGTAAAAGGTAAAAACTATTCTAAACTTACGGGATGTACAAAAACAGGTGGTGGGCTTGATTTGACCCATGGGCCACAGTTTGCCAGCTCCTAATTAGAAGATGATATAATAAATAACATGTAAGGTGTTCATAATTTATTGAATAAAAAAGGGAGGGGCAGGTTAAAAAACAGTAGATATAGTACAATTTCATTCATGTAAAACAGCAATCATCAGCTTACAGATAGCACTGGAAGAACAGATATCAGAATGTTAACAGTGGTTCCCTGATTAGATTATGGGAATAATTTCATCCTACATTGTGTTTATTTACATTTTTTTTTTTGAGTTTTGTACCTTGTGTATTCTGTTGTTTTGAAAAATAAATATGGGCCAGGTGCGGTGGCTCATGCCTTGTAACCCCAGCACTTTGGGAGGCCGAGGAGGGCAGATCATGAGGTCAGAAGATCGAGACCACCCTGGACAACATGGTGAAACACCGTCTGTACTAAAAATACAAACATTATCTGGACATGGGTGGTGCATGCCTGCAATCCCAGCTACTCGGGAGGCTGAGTCAGGAGAATAGCTTGAACTTGGGAGGCAGAGGTTGGAGTGAGCTGAGATAGTGCCACTGCACTCTAACCTAGTGACAGAATGAGTCTCTGTCTCAAAAAAATAAAAGTATGCCAGAAAAAATAGTTATTTAAAAAGTGAGAGAGAATCTGTACAATATCAGCAAAATCAGGATATTTGTTGTTAATTAATTTGATGCAATATGTTTTGTTTACCCTGTGCTTCATTTTTAGCCAACAAGTCCCAAATTTGGAAAAGCTGACTCATACGAAAAACTGGAAAAGCTAGGGGAAGGATCTTATGCTACAGTATACAAAGGGAAAAGCAAGTAAGTTAATTATTTTTGGAATATTTCATATGTACAGTGTTTCTGATCTCTTATTATTAAATAGCATTTTATTTAAATAATTCTTACTTAACATACAATAGGTTTCCCTCCCTCGGGGTGTTTTTTATTTTTATTTTTGAAAAGTGTGTAAAACTCATTGGAATTGGTATATGCTGCTAGGAAACAGTTTTTCAGACTGTTCAATTTATTTTTCCATTTAACACTCCTCCCCACAACATTGTTGTCTCTTTCTTTCAAAGGAGTTGGAACTCTCTAAGGAGAATTCATTTCCAGGTGAATTATATGATTAATTTCTCATAGAGATTTAGTGTTGACAATAGGAATATTTGTTTGACAAAGCCAAATGTATTGGCCATTCTTGGGGTCTTTTTAAATTAAGCTTTTACTCCATCTTTCAGGAATTTCTTAGTTAAGAAATAAAAAAAAAAATGGCAAACTTTTCTTTTTCTTTCTTCCTGTCTGCTTTGGCATCATACATACATCTCTATATGTATATTTTCATATAGAGAAATAACTCTCTCCTACTTTCCTTCTTTCTCTCCATTGCTATCTGGGGGTCAGGGCACAGATTTTGATTCTTAAACAGCTTGTGCTCATGTGTTTCTGATGGCCCTCCTTCCTCTCCCTTATTGATCAAGGACAGAGAGTTATTGTATTTAGTGGCATGTAATAACTTATCTAAGTTGTAGATAACTTAATGCTATCTCTGCAACAACCACAGAACTCACAAGCTTTGTTTTACCTTTATAACTTTACCAAATGTTGTTGCAAAATAATTTTCTATGCCATCCCTGTTGTTATCTCTTTTTAAAATCTTTATAGAGGATAGGACTTTGTTTTTTTTCTTTTTTTCCCCTTGCAACAGCATTTGGCCCTGTTGCCCAGGCTGGAGTACAGTGGCTTGATAACAGCTCATTGCAGCCTCAATCTCCTGGGCTCAAACAGTTCTCCTGCCTCAGCCTCCTGAGTAGCTGGGACTACAAGCACATGCTATCATGTCTGGCTATGTTAAAAAAAAAAAAAAAATTAGAAACGGAATTTCTCTGTGTAGTCCAGGCTGTTCTTAAACTCCTGGGCTTAAGTCATCCTCTGGCCTCGGCCACCTAACATGTTGTGATTACAGGTGTGAGCCACTGCACCAAACCTGGTTAGGACATTGTAACCTAAGTAATTAAATAAGAAGATGTAGAAGAGAAAAATTCTCCGAAGGATCATTCCAAAGACATAGTTGGAAATTTTGATTATGTGCTAATTTACATTATCTTAGGATTTTCAGAAGTGTGGTCTTACACCTGTTTGTTCATGTTTCTTAAGTTTAGAAGATAAAGATGTATTTTTTATAAAGAAAGATGTGTAATGCAAAATACCATTAAGTCAAAAGTAGTAATATTAATTTCGAGAGTTGTAAAAAAAGGTTTGCAAAAATGGTGCAGAGAGCCCTCTCCATTCCACACCCAGGCAGATCTCCAGGCATTTGGAGCACTGGTTCACCTGGAATGTCAGCCTAAGCTGCCTCAGCCTTTCTACACAATAACTCTGGTGTGGCAGGATCCTCTCTGCTGTATGCCTAGGCAAATCTCCAGAGATCTGGAGCACTTACACTCCTGGATTAGAAGTTTAGGCTGCCTCCACTTCCTGTACAGAGACTTGGGGCTGAGGATGTTTCCCATCTTCATGCTATGCATACCTCTGGGTGCTTGGTGGCTTTCCACTGGATTCTCCCTCATTACTCATGCTTGTGTCTGCCATCAGGGAATGACCATCTTGCCTCCTGCCCTCCAGGACTGAGAAAGGAACTCAGAACACTATGGACTCAACAGATCAGCCTATTGCCTAATGCAACAGAGAGCATCTCCCCATAAATAAGGATCAAGTATATATCCAGCCACATTGGCTGTAGTAGGCTCTTATTCGTAAGTGCCATCTACTGGCTATAGGTCCAGCCAAACAGCCCTATATAAAAGCTGCTGATGGAAGTGCAGAGGCCTATAGAAGCAAAGCCAAAAGATCCTACCCAGCATTCTCTGCAGTCACAACACATAGGGAGTATGGAGAAGGGAAAGGGAAAGAAAAAATCCCAATAATATTACAGAGAAAGAAAGAAAAAGAAAAAATCCAATCTGTACAAAAATAATTACAAAAATTATAGTACCAACATCTCCAGATGAGAAGGAACCAGCACAAGAATTCTGAATGTTATGACACCATTGAAGGATTACACTAACTCTCCAGAAATAATTCCTGACCAAAATGGAAACTCAGAAATGACAGATAAAAAATTCAAAGCATGGATTACAAGAAAGTTCAGTGAGATCCAAGATATGATTAAAAATCTACACAAAGAAACTTCTAAATCAATCCAGGAAATGAAGGAAGAGATAAGCATCATAAAAAAAAATCAGTCAGAGCATTTGGAATTGAAAAGCTCTCTTAAGGAATTTCTATACAGTTGAGGCTGGGTGTGGTGGCTCATGCCTGTAATCCCAGCACTTTGGGAGACCAAGGCAGGCGGATCATCTGAGGTCAGGAGTTCAAGACCAGCCTGCACCACATGGTGAAACCCTGTTTCTACTAAAAATATAAAATTAGCTGGGTGTGGTGGTGCATGCCTATAATCTCAGCTACTCCAGAGGCTGAGGCATGAGAATCACTTGAACCCGGGAGGCAGACGTTGCTGTGAGCTGAGATCACACCACTGCACTCCAGCCTGGACAACAGAGTAAGACTGTCTCCAAAAAAACAAAACAAAACAAAACAGTTGAAAGCTTTATCAATAGCTTAGAACAAGCAGAAGAAATAATTTCAGAGACTGAAGACCAATCTAACTAACCCAGACAGGCAAAAATAATAAAATTTTTTTTAAATGAACAAAGTCTTTGAGAAATATGAGATAATGAAAAGTGATCAAACCTACAAATTATTGGCATTCCTGAGTGAGATAGAGAAAAAGTAAATAACCCGGAAAACATATTTGAAGGAATAATCCCAGAAAAATCTAATCTTGCTAGAGAAATAGATATCCAGATTAAAAAAATCTCAAGAGGCTGGGCGCGGTGGCTCACGCCTGTAATCCCGGCACCTTGGGAGGCCGAGGCGGGTGGATCACGAGGTCAAGAGATCGAGACCATCCTGGTCAACATGGTGAAACCCTGTCTCTACTAAAACTACAAAAAATCAGCTGGGCATGGTGGCGCGTGCCTGTAATCCCAGCTACTCGGGAGGCTGAGTCAGGAGAATTGCCTGAACCCAGGAGGCGGAGGTTGCGGTGAGCCGAGATCGCGCCATTGCACTCCAGCCTGGGTAACAAGAGTGAAACTCTGTCTCCAAAAAAAAAAAAATCTCGAGAACATCTGTGAGATACTATATAAAATGAACATCATCAAGACATACTCACCAGAATGTCTGAGGTCAATGCTGAAGAAAAAGTGTTACAGACAGTTAGAGAAAAAGGCAAGATCACATATAAAGGAAACACCGTTAAGCTAACAGCTGACTTCTCAAAAAGAAACCTTACAAGCCAGGAGAGTTTGGGAACTGGACTTAATAGACATCTACAGACTACTCCACCTGTCAACCACAGAATATACATTCTTTTCATTTGCATGTAGGACAGACGACCACATGTTCGGTCATAAAGCAAGTCTCAATTCAAAAAAATCAAATACCATCCATACTCTTAGACCACAGTGGAATAAAAATAGGAATCAATACCAAGAAGATTTCCCCAAACTTCACAATTACATGGAAATTAAACAACTTACTCCTGAATGATTTTTGGTTAAATAACGAAATTAAAGCAGAAGTCAAAAAATTCTTAGAAATAAATGAAAACAGAGAAACCAGACCAAAATCTCTGGGATACAGCAAAAGCAGTGTAAAGAGGAAAGTTTACAGCATTAAATGGCTACCTAAAAAAGTTATATCTTAAATTAACTAACATCACATCCAGAGGAACTAGAAAAAAAAGAACAACCTAACCCCAAAGCTAGCAGAAAAAAAGACATAACCAAAATCAGAGCAGAACTGACTGGAATTGAAACCTAAAAGTCTCTTAAAAAATTAATGAAACCCAAAGTTGCTTCTTTGAAAGAATAAAGATCAATAGAGCACTAATTGATTAACAAAGGAAGAGAGAACATCCAAATTAGCACAATAAAAAATGACAAAGGTGACATTACAACTGATCTCATCGAAATACAAAAGATTGTCAGAGACCATTAGAAAGAACTCTGTGTATACAAGGTAGAAACCTAGAGGAAATAGGTAAATTTCTAGAACACATAACCTCCCAAGATTAAATCAGGAAGAAATGGAAACTCTGAACAGACCAATATCGAATTCCACAATTGAATTAGTAGTAAAAACCTACCAACCAAAAAAAAGAAGCCCAGGACTAGATTGATTCATAGCCAAGTTCTACCAGAAGTTGAGAGAAGAGCTGGTACCAATTCTACTGAAACTATTGCAAAAAATTGAGGAGGATGGTTACTGCCCTATTATTGAGGATGATGTAGCCAGCATCATCCTGATATGAACAACTGAGAAAGAAACTGGGAAAAGAAAACTACAAGCCAATATGCCTGACAAAAATAGACACAAAAAGCCTCAACAAAATGCCAGCAAACTGAATCCAGCAATGCATCAAAAAGCTAATTCACCACAATCAAGTAGCCTTCATTCCTGGGATGCAAGGATGGTTCAGAATTCACAATCAATACATGTGTTTCACCGCACAACAGAATTAAGAACAAAAACCATTTGATCATTTCAATTGGTTTGCTAAAAGCCTTTGATAAAAATCCAGCATCCCTTCATGCTAAAAACCCTCAATAAGCTAGGCATTGAAGGAACATAGCTCAAAAGAGTAAGAGCCACCTATGACAAACCCATAGCCAATATCATACTGAACTGATAACAGCTGGAAGCATTCTCCTAGAGAACTGGAAAAAGACAAGGATACCCACTCTCACCACTCCTAT